GTTACAAGATGAGTCACTTGGAACGAGAATAGAAATATGCCAATTAGCGAGCAAATGAGAGCATGTGTTACGGTGTTAAAGCAAGAAAACGAATGTTGGATAACAGCCTGTGTGATAAGAAACTAAAGACCTGAACGCGACTGTCGAGATCGACGATGTTAACAATTTTGCACGAAAGACAACTGTACGTAAGAGTCATATGAAATATCGATTTAGGCATTTCTCAATCACTGGATCTTAGCGATAGAGGTAGAATAGTGCATGCTCGACAGTAATTGTTCACAATGATAATCGTGAGTGGATCAAGCGATACGCGCATCAACAAGAAACATTTCGATTTACCACATATAGATATGAAGCCATTTTCGTTTCTTTTTATATTCTCGTGTTACAGCGAGAGATCCAGTGCCGAGACCGGAAATCAAGATAAATTTAGTATAATAGGATGTATATACCTTTGTTTATTGCGCATTGAAGATCGTCTGACGGCATGAAAAGTTGTAGAACATAACCGCAAGGTGTTCATGCAAAAGAAACACTTATATAATAATCCACAGTAAACTCATACGGAAAGAGAGCTCATGTGCAATGCAACTTGCCAAAGTCTAAAGGAACAGGCGATAAGTATTGGAATTAATAGTCATGCATCTATTCGAACTCTTCAACAATTGCAATACTGATGGACAAACTAACAAAAAAAAACAAGAAAAATGTTGCAAATCTAAAAATGCCATATTACAATTAATTTCTATTCAATTACATCCATTGTTATGTTTAATTAATATTTAATAATACAAGATCTAACTTGTGAAATGCTAATCTTGAAAAATTAGTTTACCCGAATGAATACGCGATACACTACAATACGATCACAAGAGTATACGGCGATGTCTCTCCGATAAACGTTATTTCAATGAGCATTGCGCAAAAATCAACGTATGATATAATATCAAGATACAAGATGCGTGTGACAACATAAATAGTAAAGCCAGATATAGTTTAGTCGCACGAGCATGTTTATTTTCATATCGAGTATCTTGTAGTTTGGTATTAATGGAAAAAGCGCATGCTTAGTTAGTTATCAGTCATAATGAAGTATTAGTCGCCTTTCTCTCAAACGTGGAATTGCGTCGACACACAATCGACACTGCAGGTAGATTAGATAGATAAGAGAGATCCTCGAGCAATACAATACAATACAAACGCCTTCGTATCCGCTGATTAATTATCGCGTAGGGAGACGCGTACCTAACGCTCTTTGCCTTTATATTATATTAAAATACCAGACAATGTTGGATCGATAGTTACGATCTCGATACTTAACGCTTGACATCGGTCAGGAATAATCCTTTGGTTTCTCGTGGCGTAGATCGAAATTGGATCTTTCCGCGATATTCAAACTTACCTTTTCCGTACAGAATAGGCACGTGATCGGTAGCCAGTCTAGTTTTCGTCTTGATACCAACGATAAGCGGCGATCCTCGCCTCGTAGCTACGCACTCACCCGGGAAATACTTGCTTTTGAAACATAGCGCGAAAGCCCCTTCCTAAAAATGATAATAATATTTCCGTTATCTTACTGTGGATTTTTACTGTGTTTAATAGCAAATGTAAACTAATCACAAAACAGTTTTTATTTAGATATTAATTAATATAATTCTTACCAATTGCTGAACAACTTGCTCGACGAGCTCACGGAACGAATACGCGGGATGCTGTACCCAGAGATGGTGGATCAATTTAGCGATAACTTCGGTGTCGGTATCGCTTTCAAATACGTATCCTCTCTGATGCAGCAGAGTTTTGACTTCCTTGTAATTCGTCACGATACCTACATTCAAGACAATCGTACAGGAAGAATCGAAAGAAAGATTTCGTAACGGGACGCATACATATATATTGTACATGACGAACGTTACCATTATGAACAACAAGAAAGGCGTGCTCGCTGTCAGAACGCTGGGGATGGGCATTTATCTCCGATGGTACACCATGGGTCGCCCATCGCGTGTGAGCGATGCCGACGTGATATTGAGTTTCCGATTCAAAGTCAAGATCAGTGCCTACGAATAAACATGGTTAATTTTACGCGACAATGACGACAAAAGCGGTCGAGCGATGCGTAAGAAAGACCACGCCAAGTAGTCCCACAAGTCTGAAAACGTTAACCGGCACTTACGACAAAATATTTCCTCTTCGAGAGCCTTGACCTTTCCCTGCTTCTTAATAATCGAGATGTCCTTGCCATCCGCACTGTCGAGGGCGACGCCTGCAAAAGGACATCGTGTAAAGGAATTCCTATAAACCAATACGACGTTGCCTCTTTTATTTATTTGCCGGGAAGCTCTTTTCCTTTCTTTTCTTCTTCGAACCATCGCATCGCAAATTAAAATAAAAACGAATGAAAAAAGTAGAGTGGCCGAGTTGAATCCAAGGTGGAATCTAACTTGAACGATAGAAATCCTATCCCTTTACCACGTAGATATTCAAGGACACACACACTCTCTCTCTCTCATATGCGACATTCAAAACTGCAAGTAATTACTTATATGTTTCAAAATGTGTGAAACGAAAACCCATGAGAAAGATTATTCTTTAACTATCTTAAGATATTTTAGAAACTTTGTTTTTCTTAATATCTTGCATTTTTCTAGTATACTTTCTAGTATCAGGTATAGTCGAAAATAAATAGTCTTCTTTTGTTGCTTCTTTATCTTCCTCTCCATCTTTTCATTGTGAAATAACATTTTCATAAAAGCACAATATTTTTGGTGGAAAGAAATTTCAAGATTAGAAATGTCGACTTACCTGCAGAATCATATCCACGATATTCTAATCTCTTGAGGCCAACGACCAATAGTTCCAATATCTCCTTTCTGCTCTTCGGCGTCAAGTAGTTTAGATAGGCAAAAATTCCTGAGGAATTCAAAACACAATTACTACTCAAATCATCAACCATCTATGATAAAAATACAATCACATTGAATTATTGTTGATAGATACTGTTGATAATAAGAATATTATATCTATCTTCCACTCTAATGTTATTAATCATTTCTTATTAATCAATAATCTTCAAGTATCACATAATATCTAACGTCTTGGGCGACCATAAAATTTGCAAGTTTGCATTAACTGTATTAGTATAATTACATATAATTAATGAGATATGACCCTGTGACAGAAGCTTTTCTTAAAATCTATAATTTAATATTTTCTTTTTTATTAATTTAGCTAGTTAGTTTGTCTCTCCTCCTTCCCACTCCATCTCCCTCTCTTTTTCACTCAATACCGTTTTATCCGTATTATTCTATTACATTGTGTAAGTTTTCCTTGGACGGTTTAATCGCTCTGATAAGCATTATACATATGTGCATTTACTTGACACCTTTAACGTTCATCTATTAATTAATCATAAATTTTTTATTATATACGTTATATTAACTCCTGTATATTTTTTGTTTTATTTTTGTCTTTCTCCAGATAATTGAATTTCTCTTTCCGCCAACTCCCACGGATACGACCTTCGGAATCGAGAGACGATGCTCAGTGTCAGTGAAATGAAGAGAATCCGTAGCTAAGGCGAATGTCTTTTATTTTTATACTTGTAGAATTTATTTTTAAATAATATTAATATAAATATAAATTCGTCTCCCTGTGACTTTTCTCCAAGATGCAGCTAAAGAAAATCAAAGACATTTATGGTGGGCGACAATGGGCCGTCTCTTCATTCCATTGATCCCTGAACCGCCTCTCGATCTCGAAGGTCGTATTCGCGAGAGAATGCAGAAAGACAAATTAATTCGATGTAACGGGAACGTAAAAAGAGAATATTAACATGCTAATCCGTAGAACAACATCAGATATGCAAATGCACAAGCCATATAGCTCGAGAAGCGAATAATCACAAATGTAAGAATTCCCCTAGTTTACTATCTACCTCTAATCTAATAAAAAAAATCACTTATTGATTTTTATATTTTATAATT